CGCAAAGAGGACGTCCAAAAACATTGAGTTTTTCAAGATTTTCGGCAAAAGGATGCAGGAAGCCCAAGCCAGCAAAAAAAGAGGGCAGGGGGAATCGAGCCTGGAACCCCTGTTTTGCGACACCAGCTCCCCGAAGACAACATTTAGTGGAACGTCATCAAATTGCCGCGCGGTACGTGGCCCCCCCCCCCCCACAAAAACCTACGTAATAGACGTCGGGTGGGGGGGGGGGGGGTTATCCTCTATCCTCTAGTAAGTATCCGACACGCCGAGTAATGTCGGCGGATTTTTCTGTATATGTATATACATTTATGTATATATTCCTGTTTGGACAGATATGTGTCCCACGATTTTTGTGGTTCCGGTTTCGAAGAGGTATGGAATCAAAAAACACGGACCATCCTAAATATCTCTCTGTCGTAAGACGAGCTCTTGGGGTAAAACGAGCTAAGCAGGAGAACTCCCAACAAGTGGACATTTTTGGACCCCGCGTATACATGGAAAATTCTGTCACTTTGAAGGGGGAGTTCCTGGGGTATCACCGGCATTGACATGGAGTTGGTTCCCTTTCCCGTCCCGCGAGGTGTCCCGTGTTTCGGTCGAAGAAATCGGAGTCCCTGAGAAAGGGCATGACCTGAAACTAGAAATTGAACATCATACCCCTAGAATTTTCGGGGGTTATTATGTAGCACCTTTTTTCTGAATATGTGTCTACCACGTTTTTTTTTCATGGTTGTTGCTGGTGCTCGGTAGGGAAAGAGGGAAGGAACCTGGGGATGGTTGTTGTTGGGATTTACTTTTCTTACCTTTTTTGTGCAAATTGTGGTTGAGTGGTTGAAATCCAACCACTTAACTGCTAAAATTTGAGAATGTTTGCTCCCCTTCCAGCGTCAACCAAGATTTCTGCCGGGGTTTTGTGGGGTAAAGGTGGACTTACACAGTCCAAGAGGAAGCGACACGTTTTTTTGTTTTGTTTTTCTGATCTCGCTTTGCTGATTGCTTCGACGGCCGAGGGATGCAACCATTGAGTCATGGCGCCCAATGTGGCGGACCCGGCAGAGTCAGAAGGATGTCAACGTGCAGCAGTGTTTGACGAGGGACTGCACCCCCGCGCATGAACCCACATGCGGCAGCGTCAGGGTTAGGGTTAGCATCAGCGACCCAGCACAAGACTCGAGCAATTTTCCTTTCGCCCTCCTTGTCGCCATAAGGAGGCCGGTGACGGCCGCGGTGACGCCCCTGCTATTGATCATCCATCTTGTTCATGTGAGGATGATGTTTATCTGGTTAAACCCTTTAGCAGATATCATTGACTTGGGGATTGTATGGGATTGTCCACCAAGCTCGTTTGAGGGTGTGCCTCATTTAAATTCGCAGCCATGCGAGCAAGGGTCAATATTCAGCCTCATCCATTTTTGCACAAGAGATTGCACGGAGACACGCGAGCAAATGCTAGCAGTCCTTGGAGGTTACAAGTACAAACCCAAAATATCATATTAGTTGCAACAGCTGAGAATTGAACATGGCTCATGTCAGGTTTCCAGGCTCTTGGGCTCGCATTGAGATTGCTCACTTACTTTTGGCTCTGGTTAGGAAACTGACTCAGAACCTTTCTGTCTAAGGGTGGATGTACATACCCCTACTTCATACCCCTTTTTGATGGATTTCGAAGGGGTATGAACATCCAATCTCCTGATTCAATCCGGGGAGAGGGGCATGCACTTTCGGGGTCAAAATCCGAAACCGCGCCACGTTCGCGTCTTGTTGCCCGTGCACTCCGGCAAGGTCATGACCGGCTACGCCGGGGAACACAGCTGGTCTGCACTTGGGTGGATCCTCTCATATGGGTATGGGTCAAAATGAAACCACCAGGGGACACCAGGTTTTAGTCTATGTGTCCACTTACCAGGGTTCCATTTTGGGTGCCTATTTTTGACCCACGATGGAACTCCAAGAGATGGTCCATTTCCAGGAGATTCCTCGAAACACCCTGGCGCTTCGCTCGATTTGACTCGACAGTGGGCGCGTCAGAATCAAGCTTTGATCCTCAAAAGATGGGTCCAATCAATGGGCAGCATTCCCTCCCGAAGTTTGGAAAGTGAAGAGGCAAGACCTACTGTAGGCAATGAAACAACGTCAATCCTCCCTCATCGACCTCAGGGCAGGGCTATTGGCGGCAGCGGGGGGGGGGGGATCTCAGGATAAACTTAGGAGAAGTCGACGCGGGCCCCTACCCTACCTTTGATTCAGGGATGAGGCAATGTTTTGGGAGCAAAAAGTGATGCCTGGTGCTGACTTGCCATCTCCGCTCCCAGCCACTGCTACTTTATTTGACCAAGATAGGTGGGGTGTCTCGCATAGGACTTGGATCCCTTGGGTTGCCTTTGGCTTCCCTTTCAACCAACCCCAAAATAGATACCCTCAAGACAAGGGCACACCTGCATATGGGGATTCCCATCCTAAGTCCAACAGGAAACCGGGGTTTAACTTTGGGCCACTT